TTCCCTTACTTAAACTGAGATGACCAGTTAGATGATCGAGACCCAAAAAGTTTTTCTACATATTGTTGATTTATTGAAAACAGTCCAACTGGCCTGAATTCCTCACTTGATGGAACACAGAAACTCAGCAATCTTTATGCTTTCCATCCATATTTTCTTCCGAAAAAGGATTCAAATACTTGCAAGAACAAAAGTAAAGTTAACTGAGTCACAAAGTAACAAGTGAAAATGAAAAACTGATAAGAAGTCACGATGCAGATCAATCAAAAGCAATGTATTGAACGGGAAAACTGAGGGATATTAGACAACTCATTGAAGGGAAAGTGAAGATTGGGAAATGTGGCACAAATGTGCAACAACTTAGTCAAAGTAGTTCGGATTTGAGAGATCAAATGAATCAAATAAATAATGGTCGTGCAAGTCATTCAATCAAGGCATCCTTGAAAAAATTCACATAGAAATTTTGATCATCGTTCTGGCTTAATACCTAGAAGAAGGTTTTAGTTAGTGGACAGGTCTAGAGCAAGCTTTCCCTGCTGGAAAATAGGGGAAATTTCCAGAAAACCAAACTGATGCCTTTCAAGGGCATGAAGCCTGAGCTTTTTTCAGGATATCATGCTAGAGAATAGCAAGGTTTGGTACTGTGTCTCTTTTCAGTAGTCTGAAGAACAAAAATACGCGCAAAAGCGCAAGAGATATTCATCTTCAAAGAAGTTCTAAGTAAGGAATGCAATACTTTCGAAAGAACGATTTAAAAACGAAGCGAAAACTCCTACTAGATATGTGACAACGGATGCTCTCAGCAAACTTTATATTGCGTCTGTGACAAAAATAAAATGGAAATATTGAAGGATAAGGAGAAATGTGTATTACTATCCCCGCCACAGCGACAAAAACAAAATTTTCAACGTATAAAACAATTGCATATAGAGAAATACTGTGCGTTCACTCAACAAATACTATTACCGAGAACTAACGTTCTTCCTAACGTTCCTTCCTTATTTCCACTTCATTTCACGTACCCACGTGGGCATTAACTTCTTGTAAATAAGACAAAAATGAAATGCATTCAACAAACAGCAGAACTTTGAAGACATTTCAACATGCAATGCAAAGAAAATACATTTCAAACTTTCTCATCCTCACGTAGTACGAGACTTTTGGCATTAATCGATGTGTGCGCATACGAGACACATGCAATACATATGCGAATACAGTCTTTCGGGATAACAAGGGGTGTCATTGAATGCTGTAGCAGCACAATATCTCGGTTAATGTGAGTGAGCGGATGGGTTATGATTTGAACAGTTGAGGGGTGATTTTGCTTAAACTAGACGAGTGATGTTTAAACAGATGATCGATTCAAGAAATTAATTACTTTGTGACATAGAGTGATTCAGACTGCATCCAATCTGGGAATAAAAGACCGTTCCCAAGCCGATTTCCTTTCAAGACCAGGAATAAATAATGTTTTTTGAACTGAATTATTGAGATTTGTAGGTGACAGAAAGGGACATTAACTGTACTGTCTTACGAGTGGCGCAAACAATGATAAAGGAGGAGGACAATGACATACATCCGGGATGACATGCGAAGTTATTTCCCCTACGTTGTTCCACTTTATTCTATATAATGACTAGTCTTTTGACTTCGTATGATTGGTTACCAAAGAAAGGAGTAAACCTCATCTGATTCTTCTAAAAACCAAAAGAAATCAAAGAGGGGAAAGGAAAATTGGTTATCCTTGGAATACATCACTATTTTTTGCTGAGTGGCGAAGTAGGAAAATGGCGATGTTGAACTGTCATTATTAGGGGCAATAACTATCAGGAAATTGCATCAAATTGTTACAAGTTATTCTGTTTATCTTTGAACCATCTCTTGCTTTTTATTCACCACGCATCAATTTATTTGGTTACCTATTCATCCATTTTACGTATTTTATTTATTATTGTGTTTAACTTATCATGTTTGACTGTTTACTTATTATCTACATGTGTTCAAAACAACATCTGGTGACTTGGTCGTTCGTTCTATCATCCTGGTGACAACAAAGTTCTTCCAAAATAAAATGTTATGTTTACGATGACTGTCATCGTGACTGTTATCGTAAATATGAACAAAGTTTGTTCTCCGATAGTCAGTTCCATGTAGTTTTAGATTGGATAGTTCTACTAAATTGTTCAGGTAAAATGTTTTTCAGGTAAATTTCGTAATTTAATTGGGTGAGTTAATGATTTCGTTATGTGTAAAATGTGTTTAATATTTGAATGGCTGAACATTGCGATTGTTGACATGAATCGGAAAAGTAATCTGAATTCTCACATCTTTTCAAAATGTTTCAAAAATATTTCACGTTCGAAAAAAAAGGACCACAAACAATTTAAATTTGATTCGAAGTTTTATGGAATTAAGATTTGTTTTTTTTCCGTTTTCTTGGCAGTAGAAAATACACCTCGTCATATCGATATCAGACAATTTTTTGAAGTATAATTTTCAATTATTTCTCTTCGGGATCCACGGCTTTTTTAACCACTGCATTCAAATACAAGCACTAAACCTTTTTTTTGATTTTTGAGTGTCACGATCTCTTGTGCACCTGCATTATTATTTTTTTTAGCTTATTTTGTAAAGATTTTGATGGGTTTAAGAAAGGCACGTCTACGATTGTGCTGAATTATCTCCAGAAAGAATTTTAATTTTAAATTTTTGTAAAAGTTTGTGCATAGTTGACGAAGAATTGCCAACTATAAACATTCAATTTTTCAAAAATCACATTTTTTTGAACCTTAATGAATCGATACTTCAAATAGCATCAGTGGACGCAAAAATCAACGTGCTTCCCAGTTATACTTTTTCAGTGAAGGTGGTCTTCAAAATTGATTGTCTTTAATAAACAGCAAATAGTTTTTCTGAATGTCTTCACATGTCAGAAATTATTTATAAAATGAAATAGTGTCTAATTTTCAACCTAAATTAAATCAGTTAAAGATTTTGAGTTTTTCTCCAAAAAATTTAAATTTTTCTTTAAATTTCGTGGTCTATTATTTTACCAGAAGTTATTATTTGTATTAAGCAGGTAATATTT